AGTGTTTGTCAGTCTCTGGGCTTGAATCCCGTTGTGTTGAAATAAAAACACTGAAGGGAGATGAATAGACTGAGAGTTTTTTCTTTATGACAAAACAGCTCTTGAGTTAGTTTAAGTTTGCAGACATAAAATGCAGTTAAAAATGTTAAATCAAAATATATGTGGCTATATATTTTAGCGCAACTCTCAGCATATCGCAAAATGTTCAAAATCGCAGTAATATCCATCGTGACCAAAGTATTGTGATAGTATCGTATCATGGGGCTTCTGGTGATTCCCAACCCTAGCGGCCGCCAAGAAAACAGCGTGTTACAACAAAATTTAGGATTTCTTTGGCTTTGATAACTTTTGGAAATATTTAAGCTAATGTACAACAAACTTATACTTATATTGATACCTCAACATGGCCATCAGAAACAAGACTGATTATTTTTGTATAATCATTATTAATACATTTATTGCAGTCATTTTATCGATTGTCAAAGTGAATAAAGCATGCTGCAGTAACAGTCTTTGTTTACAATTTTCACTGCAAAAATTTTCAAAAAGTGAAACATTTGACTGTTGATCTTATCTTGCCATCTTAAAACACCATTAACACATGCACAGGACAAAATCTTCAAAGAGATAAGAAGTATGGCTTCCTCCACAGGAGGTATTAAAATCAAGCTCAAAGTTCTCCTCAGCAGTTTTGAATATCTGCAAGAGGGGGTAAAAGTAAAAAATGGTTTTGAAAGATACTTTAATGCAGAAATGTTTCAGCCCTGACAAGTGTCTTTAATGGCCTCTGTGGGAGTCCACTTCATCTCAAACCTACACGTCAGACTGAGTTGGAGATTTGAGAAAAAGTCAGGTTCAGACCAATTCTTCTGATGTTGGTTTCATGTATATCTCAAAAGACTTGTTACAGTATTTGAACTTTCTAAATAACACAGTCGGGCAGTTTGTGTCCCCAAGCAGTATTTGTGGATAAAATGTCACCTTTGCCGTTGTACAGTTCAGTGTTTTACGAGTGCATTTGATGTTTTGTGTGTGTGTGTGTAGAAAAATGACTGATGTGTTACAAAATCAGCACCCTCAGGCTACTGTAAAGCTGTGTCTGTGATTAAATCCGTATCTCTCACTCCAAGTCTCCTGGTGTTCACTTTCCAATAGAGCATCATATGGGTTCTGCTTTCAGGGCTTTGGTTAGCCCAGCTCACCCACTGTGCACCAAGCTCCCCGTGGATCCCCTCAGGACATCCACACAGCATTCCTCTCCTCTGAGACCAACACTCCACCTCTATAGCTTACATACCGAGAACTTGAAGCGTTAAATTCCAAGAAAGAAATCTGTGTGATACTGTCGATTACTCTACTTTGTCCTGGCTAAGAGGAAGTGTGTTAAGGTCAAAGTTCAATGCTTGCAGCGCCACCTGATTCGGCTTTTAAGTTGAATTCATTTATTTATTTAAAAAGGAACAGTGTACATTAACCAATATTCAGAGGGATGTAAATGTACCCAAGTTCACTGAAGGCTCATTTTCTTATTCTGAAAATGACTTGGTTTGTTCTTTTGTGTCCTCAATAAACTGAAATATATATGACTCACACGTAAAGAAATTAGAAAAAATAAATAATGAAACCACAGACATTTCTTGAGGGTGCTATGGGAGAGCTTTGGCTATCACGGGGTAACATCAGCACCCCCTGCTTGCTCCCTGGGGCGGTCTATGAGCCAGGATAGAGCTAGGGGAAACCCACACCTCTAGCCTTAACTGTTGGACCCAATTGACTTTTTTTAATTGACGTGAATTCCCAGGCATGAATTCAGCTTGATGTCATTGGTATCCTTTCTTTGGACACTGTCTGTGTCTTGGCTAGAATTTGCATCGATACTGTGTTAATATAAGGTTATATTTATCAAAAGGAAGACAAGTTTGCAGGCTAATTGCTCCTCTCTAAGATTCATTAAGAATTTACCTGAGCCAACTTTCTGCATATTTATGACAGCTTTTAGGTTGCAGCCATAAAAATACTAAACAAGACCAAATATTGTTCTGAAGTCCTCGTGTGCCTCTAGAGCAAGTAGCTGTCTAAACGTATATCGCTGACCTGGACACAGTTCCCATGGCAACTCATTGGTATTAAACCAGGAGAAGTGACATCTTTTATCACCCCAGACTCTAACACCTTCTTCTTAACTACCTGCAGGTTCTTAACAGCTACCCAGATGTAACTCAATGTCTTTAGATACTAACATGATACAGTTAATGGTCATTCTATTCCGAATGTTCATTGCTGAGATAGTGTTTTCCATTTCCAAGAAAATAAAGTTTTATATTAAACAGGAAATGTTTTTAGAATATTCTCAAACAGATAAAGACGAGAAAAGTCTGGAAAAGTCTTCATGCTAACTTTTATGACTAAAAGGAAAAGCAAAACGAGTCGTCACCTTCAGGGATGAAAAGCAGTGTCGTAAGAGAACTAAGAGTCTGCAGGGTGTCATCTGAACTGATCAATGGCTTCTGATTTCACAGGAGTTTCTCATCTCAAATTCAATGCATGTTAATAAATGAATCCCCCCAGATGTAAATCCACTGTTAACTATAAAATTCATCTCACATACATGTTTATATGCATATAAAAGTATGTGGATATAATCAGTATTTGTCTGTCAGCGTGAGCACACCAGGAAGGTAATTACCTTTTCTCAGTTATTGCAGCCAGCACATTCCCACTACATTTCAAAGATCTGTTTGTCCCTAATATTCTACAGTATAATCTTTCAAAACATCGTGAATCAGTGAATAATTTAGTGGATATATAGTTTGAGATTCTACGTCAAGAAGATTTACAAAAGCTGCTAATACCCTGTGAAAATGATGACATTTTTGTCTTGCTTAAAAAGAGAAACAATAAATACCTTGAAGTACGAGGATAAGGACCAAGAGTGTTCACATGTTTGTAATAATACAAAGTGAAAGGAAGACACTTTGAAATATGGACCCATATTTATTCACTTATGACTCAAAGTTGTGCTAAAGATCCTTCATTGGCTTGTCACTTTACTGTGTACAGAGGAGGTTAAATGTAATATTCATGATATGATCATGTGTAGAATATTACTTTTTTTATGTCAGTAATTTCCGTGTCAGATAATTTATGCAGCAGGTTAATATAAAATAAACGATACATATTTATTAAGTTTTCATGATTCAATGCTGTGGATTGAGACTTCCCCCTGCTGGTTAAACATTTGTATTACAGAAATTATGAATCAGACATCCTAAAATCTCATTGGGTTGAATAGCTGAATGTGCATATTTAGAACCAAGTGCTGTAAAAAAAAAAAAAAAAAAAAAAAAAAAACTTCAAGCACCATCCAGGCAGATTTAACATGTATTTTTTTATTAAAGTATAAAAAAACACATACTCACATGATGTGTTAACTGATGAGAGGTGGTATGGTGACACTTTCTTTCATTACTGCTGAAAGCGTCAGAAGATACTAATGCTCAGACTTTACAACCTCATTTATTACATTCCTCTAGTTACTACAATGTCCCCTCCTCATCAATATGCTTAATGAGCTCCCACAGGACCTTTCACTGCGACGTCAAGCTGGTGTTCCTCAGGGTCAGACACATGAGCCCTGCCTGTAGGTTAGAGGATCTCCATCACGGACATGGTGACAAGTTAACCTTTTCATGGATTCTAATTACTCCGAGAACAGGTCTGACTGCTTGTTTCAACCTTACCCATTATAACAGCTCACTTTGTGTGGCTGTGGCTCAGTTGGTAGAGTCGTCACCGGTTCAATCCCCAACATGTGCGATGTGCCCTTGGGCAAGACACTTAACCCTGAATTGCTCCCGCTGCTTCAGTGGAGGCAGTTACTTCTGATGGATGACTACATAGTAATCACTACCATCAGTGTGTGAAAGGGTATGAATGGGTGGGTGTGACAGGTGATGTGAAAGTGCTTTGAGTAGTCAGAAGACTAGAAAAGTGCTATATAAGCTGAAGTCCATTACCATTACTTTAAATGGGGGATAATTAGCTCATGTACAAGGTTACAGAATGAGAAGAGGGAACTCCAGTGTCTTCACGACATTATGCTTTGACTCAATTTGACTATTGTGATTCCATGTTAAAAATATCCTCGGTCATCAGACTGAGACATGAATATAAAGATGATTGAGGTGAAAGGCGTGAACAAAGATGGCCAAGTAAAAAACGTGTAAGAGTACATCATTCTATACACTTACAATAAAAATCATAGAAGAAGAATAAGAGCAATTGCACCGCATTTACAGGAGCGAGTTTTAACTCGGGAACATCTCAGTGTTTCTCTGCAGAGCATGTGATCACCGTAGACCATTCTCATGATGAAAAGTAACTCAAGGGGTAAAGTGAGGGAGAATCGTCTACTAATTTACTATTAGACACATAAAAAAAGACAAATTAACCACCAGGTGTATGGATGTCGTTCCCAGACATTGCTGAGTTATCACAGTTAAGCTAATCAGATTGAGACATTCATTTCAAATGAAAGGGAAGTGTCCCAAAATGTTGTTTTCTAATCAATTATTATTGTGAAGTGACCTTCAAGCATTTGGGTAAAAAAATGTCACCCCTTCATCATCTGAATATATTACAGGGTTTGCAAGATGTGTAAAATGCTGTCATAATAAGCTTTAGTATTCTTGAGTTATGTCTACAAGATTTTGTGAGAGGTCACATGACCTTGACATTTGACCTCTTCATTATAATCAGATCATGAAGTTGAGGTTTTTGCCAAGTTTAAATAAGTTCCCAGAGAAATTGCTTGCAAAAGAAATAGGAGCCTCAGAGGCTTTATAAAATGAACTGTGTTGTTTTACCCATACCACAAATATCAATTTCTTTTCTCACTATACTTGAGATGTTTCAAGAGCAAAGTTCTCAAAGTTTAGTGTGGCAGACTTTGGAGCACATTGGATCAAAGTATGTATATTAATGAGAAGACACTTCATACAGTTTGATTTGATTTTCTGTTTCTATTTATTATTAATTTTTCCAGTCAAAAAAGGAGCATTTTATTTCTTAAGGCATTCGGGAGAATGAGCAAAACAATCTCTTACACAGCCCTTTCCCCATTATTGAATGCAACATATAAGATGTTTGTATTCGTTTTTATTATAGATATCTTCTAAAGCTCAGCAGTGCTCTGAGCTTGTATAAAAAAGCCTTTATCCCACAAACAGCACATAAACATCTGATAAATAAATAGAAAACAAACCCATAAACATTCACAAGACATTCTCCCAGTTACCCTCACATTCATTGGTGCTCATATTCACAGGAAATCTTCAGTGAAAATCACAAAATCAACATGTCACGTTCTGCTTTTACACAATGTAGTGGCAAGACTCACAGCAGAGAGGGAAAGTAAACACAGAGGTCATTTAGGGAATCCATACGTATATCCATCATATGAAAACGTACTTTGAAATAAAAACTATTTCCAATTACCTGCTGCATAAGTATTGTCCTTTAAGATGGGTTTTCAGCGTTCTATTAGTTTTACCCACCACATTTCACTTGTTTATCTCTGCTGCTGGGGGGAGTGGGGGGTGCAGTTCAGTGCAGCTCATGCATCACTGTCGGTATTTTATTTTCATTACACAGTATGAATATGTGAGTTAACTCGGACTCATTAATGCAGACAAACGTGGAGAGAGACCCCGAGAGAATTAAATCTTGTTCTTAGGAAAGCTGTTCAAAGCAGCCAGCTGTGACGTATTACAAATTCCACTTGAAAAATGAACGCAGCGCCACATAGCAACGACAAATACAAAAGGGAAGAGAAAACGTGAAAAGGTGCTTTAGTATTGCTTTGCAAGGAAATGATCCCTTTCTGATTCCCTCCATTTTCTCCTAAGATTTAATTCTAAATAAAAGACCATTATAGAACACATAATAAACATCATGGCCTTGGTTTGAGGAACATCTTTTTTTCTCTACTTCAGCCATTGTTGCCAATTCTCATCCAGTTTTACTCCAACTTCACGTTGTTCTGAAACCTTCCAGTCATTTTGTGTACTGACCATAGACTGTAAATATTAATGTACGAAGCCTGAGTGATGTCACCCATCTGCTGCGGCAGGGGGGCTCTGGAGGCTCATCTGGACATCCTGTCTCAGCCAACCTATCAACAGGCTTAGAGCCGGAGCTGAGGAGGGTTTAAAGCCTCCTGACAAACCGTTACATCGCGCCTAACTACGGATAACACGTATCGTTCAGAAAATTAAAACAGATTATCTAAAAAAAAAAAATCACAGTACAGAGTGTGCCTGTGAGGACAATTACTAATCAGACCAATTTCATTTTTTGAATCAGGCTGTAAACATGTTCATTTCTGCTGTAAAAATTGGCTTTTTCGAATGGTTTGTGTATGTGACTTCCAGGACTTCTGGAACCAGCATTGAGCAGACCCTCAAAGAACTGCAGCATTTTTCACATCCGCATTGGCTTCATTCTTCAACACCGGAGGTTGATGCTTTGTACTGACATACACTCTTCTGTCACATTAAGAAAGAGGTAAGCAAATGGGAAAAAAAAAAAAAAGTGCATGTGACCGACACTGAAAAAACACAACCTGGAGCTAAAACAAACACTCCCACAGCCAAGGACACAACATTCGTCCGTTCTTTTGAGAGTGTTTGTTCACTTCACAAGAGTTCTGCTTCATCCTCGTCATCTTCAGAGCCCGAAGGTCCCTGGCGAACTTCTTCGTACCACTTGTTTGTGAGGGTCTTCATCTGGATCCGGCCATGTAACAGGTCCTGTAAGAGACACAACAGTTAGCATGTCAGCAAACACAAACAAACAAGAATACACACATGAACAGGCAGGTAAAAAATAAGTGATCTTAGAACACATGAGCACTAAAACCTATTTGTTGAAGCGCTGCACTGTTTTTGTTCATTCAGTGAGAGGTTTACATTTGACATTTCTTGTTAAGGCGTTTTCTTGGCAGGGTTTGAAAGGTCACGCTTTGCCAAACAATACAATAATATTGAGTTTATGTATTGCGCACCATTCTCATCAATATTTCTCAAAAGATTTTTCATATGACATTTAAGAAATGATTTAAAGGCCAGATTGAATCCATAAAGGACCTTATTTGGCCCACAGGTCATCATTTGAATGGCTCTGCTCCTCAGCCTCATCACAGAGGAGAGCTACAATGCACACGTTTTCTGATGTCTCTGCTTGGGACAAGAGGAAAAAGCTTTGATTTTAAAGCCTCTCTGTGTTCAGCCTGAAGCCTCATCAGATCGGTATTCACTGCGAGGTTGTTGCGATCTGTTTATAGAACATCAAACACAAGGCCTAAGAGAAAAAAGCAGCAAGACTTCAAAACAATGAAATATATATAAAGGACTGTGAGCCCCCTAATTGACTTAAGGTGTTTGTTTTTTTCTCTCACTCTCTTTCTCTCTCTTACCTCTTGGGTTAGCCTGCGAGTGAAGAAGGGGTTAAGGTATTTAGCATCGAGCCACATAAAGCCCTTCAGATCTTGTCTCTGGTAGATATGAGCCTCGTACTCCTCCTCTGTCAGTTCTGATAGGTGCTCGGACTCGATGGTGTTGCCCTGGGGAGGAAAATCAGACGAAAGAGAGAGGGGGGAGTTTGATAAATTGCACCAAATGAAAGAAAAAAAGGGGGGGCGAACAAATGAAGCCGAGCCGGTAGAGATGGAGGAGAGGATGGTGAGGTAAGAGCGGTGAAGTCAAGATAACTTGAAAAAAAAAAAGGACTAGAGATGAAGCAGAGAGAGTAGAGGGAGCAGAGAGATTACATCAAAGCTGGCAGAGAGAGCTTAAAAGGGAAAAATAGGGAGGCTGAAACGCTGAGATGTGAAACTGAGCTTAGGAAGACATCAAACACACAAATAGTATACAAAGGAGTGATTGAAACACACCGCCACACAGTGACCTCTGTGGAGGAATGCACTTTAGACAATTTAGCTGACACAATCTATAAAGACCCAGAAAAGAAGAGTCTGTATTCTGCTGTTTTGAAGACGGTGTTGCAGCCAGCTGTTCGGGCTTATTTGTGCTTGTCAAGAGTTTTGTTGTTTCTGAGTATGAATCAATGTGACAAAGGATGTTTGCTCCCCACTGATTCAGTGTCCTTCAAACAAACCACAATCAACCCTCTGAGCTTTTTTCCTCAGAGGAGAACAGTAAGGGTGTGATGGCAGATGAGAGGATGGCACATCAACTCTCAGTGCAGAGTGTGTGTGTGCGCGCGTGAGTGTGTCTGTACATTGAAGTGATATCTAATTGCTTCCACCATTACCATTTTCTCCGTCTTGCTGAGATTGATGTCTTTCTTGTTCTTCCGTCGCGACTGGCTTTCCTCGATGTCCATGAGGCGGATAAGGGGCATGGTCCCGCCCCCGAGGAGGAGGATGGTGAAGAGGACGATGATGATGGTGGTGGTGCCGATTAGCTGCCGCTTCTCGATGGGCTCCAGGCCCAGATGAAGGCTTAAGGCGTAGGGGATAGCACCCCGTAAACCTTTCAGATACAGAAACAGATTAAGTGGATCAAGATACTGAGATGGCTACATGAGAACACATACTTGGAGGCGACAGTCTCAGAGTTTTGCTAAAAGTATTTTATATGCATTTTATTTATGATGATGTATATATTTTAACTTTAAATTTACACATAAGCACTTGATCCTGTATGTTTTAATTCCTTCCATCATTTTCCTTTAAAAAATGAAGGGCATCAAATAAAAATATTTTTTACTTTCTTAGAAACAAAGTAAGGGAAAATGTCAATTTGATTTAAAGAAACAAACAACAACAACAGATACATTATATGATTAAATTATTTCTGAGGTTACTTTTGATTTATTGGTTGACTGACTCTTTGTTTAAACTCTACTTGGCAATATCTAATTTCTTCTTGAGACATGCATCATATTTTAGGGCAAGAGCCGACAGCCTGGCATTCTTTCAACACTGTAACAGAGAGAAGTTCCTCTGTATGGTCTCACCACTAAACCACATGATGAACATCATTTTGGGTGTGATCTTGTGGTCTCTGAAAAAGTTCAGCAGGAACGACAGAGGGAAGATGTTCACCGCTCGGCCGAGAAGAACCAAAACCTAAGGAGAGAGCAGCAGCCGTCACTCTTACAATCATGAGACACATTTGGATTACTTGTTTTTCTAACAAGAGCACTCACTATGCACCAGATGACGAAGGATATTTCAAACTTATGAGGGAAGCTGAAGATGGAAAGCCCAAGGAAGGCGAACACGCATGTCTCTGGAGAGAAGAATTCATAAATAGCGTTGAGAACTTTTCGGAAGATGAAAAGAGAGACGAGAAATGTGAGGGGGTGGGACAGGGAATTCACAAACCACACATAAAGGCCACTGAGCGCAGAGTCTGCTGCATGAGGATCTGAGTAACAGGAGACAAGTTATGATGGGTGTAGTGGGACATCACAATCCCAGCAAACAGGATGGACATTATTCCTGGAAGTGGAATCAGACAGTGGCATTAGGAAAAAAGACAGTCAAAAATCACCACATGACTTGGTATGTGCAGGAGTATGTGCTTGTGGATTTTGCACTTACCTGACAGTTTGATTCCTTCTGCGAGGCCATAAGGAAGGTATGCAAAGATGATCATCATACCAAACTCCAGTGAAGGAGTCTTCCTCAGATCAAAATGTTTTAGAAACTAGTCAGGGAGTTAGGGAATTTTAATGCAAATGAAAACAGAATAGAATGACCTTCAAGTTTCTCACTCACACACACACACACCATGAGTCAGGATACAAGAGCCGAGATGAGTCCGGTGAGGGTTCCCAGGGCGGCAGAACCGAAAAACATTCGAAGGAAATAACCCAACGCCTGTATAAAAGTCTCCCAGCCTGTTACCGTGGAGTTGTCTGAGTGGGAAAAGAACCCCTCGGCTGTGCTGAAAGATCACACACAAAAAAAATGCAACTTTTTAATGTTGCACATTCTTTTGTTGTAATACCTTGATCTGACCATAGAGGGCAGAAACACTCCACCTCTGAATATTACAACCTTATGAGCATGACTGTAAGAGAAGAGCGTGTGCAATGTTTGTTGTCCTGTTTGTTTAAGAGAGGTTGGTATATCATCACTTGTCGTACTGTTCTGCCATTCAAAGGATATGATTGGCTACAGTCAATTTGTACTTTATCTTAGATCTTGAACAGCCTTAATAATAATAAACCCATCAGACACCAGTACTATAAACCTCAGCTCAGACTGTTTATAAGTCATAAAGGTTTTTATTTTGACAGTTGGTTGACATGATTGATTATCTAGACAGGGTTTTGCCTGCATGGCTCTATCAGGTTTGGCTGAGGTCAGGGTGAGGGTTAGTTTCAGGTTGTCTGAGTATGTAATTAAAACAAAGAGGAAGTAGTTCAGCCTTCTTGTGTGAACTAAAGCGTCTCATTAGCTGTGTAGATGATGTTTCCTGCTATCACCTGCATCAAGTTTTTTTTTTTTTTTTTTTTTTTATCCACTTGGCATTTTTAATATTTCTTCATGAAGACTCAGAAAAGCAAATCTGGGTGCAGTTTTAAATCTGAACTCTACACAATGTCATTCTCAATATGATATCAAAACAAAAAAAAAAAAAATCAAAGACACTATCAGCCGAGCTGTAAAAAAAAACCCACTGCATCATTCTGTTAACAACAACAAGCTAACTGTCAGGGCTGTCGGGTCTATCTATAATTCATGCACTCATTTACTCTTCGGGGACCATGCAGACACTCGAGATCACTTTGCACATTTAGCTGGTCGTGAGTAGGAGAGATAAGGCACGGATAAAGTGAGTACAGAGACGGCAGATAGGGTGACGGCGTACAAACAAGCGAATCCTGCCAACTGTCTGTTTCCGTCTAACTTGTTCGTCAAGATTTTGTTGGTGTGCCGGTTTGTGTGGCTGACAGTCGCTCCACATTGTGCAGTCTTTCTAAACAATCATGAGAGACACTGTCACTGAGACAACGAGACTGTTCCTTGTGACTATCGTGAGGTTGGTGAAAGTTAAACTGAAATGTGACGCAACATTTTTACTGTTAACTGGAAATCTGTGTTAGCACAATACATTCCATCAATGATCCTCATCCAGGAATGTCCTAAATGCTATCTACATTGATCAGATCAAGATTTTAAGTCGCTAAGACTTAAGACTGCACATTTATCAGATAAGCAAAACTCTACCAGCACCCTCTATTTTTTTTTTTTTTTTTTTAAACATGGCTTTGTTATTAAGTGCAAATCCAAGCAACAAAATAGGTCACTGGTTTACCCCCTGGGTCCCTGGCTTTCTATCGGTGTTACAAACAGAGCTGGGGTGGAATATGTTAGGTCAAGCAGCAGGTGATTTTGAAAGACATACAAATAGTTTGTAAATACTGAAGCCCTTTAACTTACGTGTTGATCAATCTATTAAAGGAAATCTGCAAGACTGATAACTTTATTCACAAAATAACGTCTTTAATAAATATCACAGTTAGAGGTTACATACTGTACTGTATACCTGTGACTTGGGCGACTTAGGGCGCACTCACACTAGGCTAAGTTGTCCTGTACCGTGTTTAAGCACGATTTTCCCCCCTCCCCCGCTGGCCTGCACTCACACAGCTCCAGGACTAACCAGGCCTGAGCACGGTTACCTCTTGTACCTTTTCCAAGTGTGCCAGGACCGAGGAAGTGTACAGTGTTTGAGCACAGATCGGAGCACCCACATTAGTCAAACGAACTGGACGTTAGGTGCTTAAGCGCGGGACGGATTGATGGGATCTCTACATTATAGACTTTTTCCTGCACAGAAAAGATGCCAGAAGTGAGTTGATAAAAGACTCTTACTTGGTGAGGACAATGGAGACAGCATCGTTGAGGATGCTCTCACCAAACACCAGCATGTTGAGGACTGGGTCCACGTTGAGGGCGTTAAAGATGGCGATGGTAGCCACAGGGTCCACGGCCGAGATCAGAGAGCCGAAGGCAAAGCTACAGCAAAGGGAGTGAAAATGAGCAGAAGACAAACAGTAACACTGTGATTATGAGATACTCCACAGGCATTACAGACTCCAATGAAAGTCAAACAAAGGAGGAAACAATAATAAACAACAGAAGAAGATGTAATTTCAGAGGAGGTCAGAGGGAGGTAGAAAGGAAGTGCGTCAAAAACAAGAAAGCACATGCATTCACTAATGCAACACAATCCTATAAATTACATTTGTGTATTGATAGTTGTTCGAGGTGGTGTGAGTCATCCGAAGTCCCTAAATACAGTTTGTGTCAAAGAGGCCACACCTACAACAATATGGCCAAATAATTATTGGACAGCAGAATCACATCGTATTATGTTTGTCGTGTCTTATTAAAAGTGAAAAGAAATAAAATAACATGAACAACTCTTTAAGGGTTATTCAAATGCTTTTGGTTATACAACAGGAATTCAATAAGTATCAAACATTGAGGGAAGAATCGGGTTGACAGTTAGAGTATAAAATATCTAGGAAAGAAAACAAAAAACAAAAATTTTGGGACTTCCCCAAACTAATGAGTTCCTGGCCCCTTTTGAGAATTCCCCGGAAAATCACTGAAATCTGTTTTGCTGGTTCAAAGACAGATGGGATCGAAAGAAAAAAAAAAAAAAAACACTCTGCCAACTGTGATTTCATACACATGCACACTACTCGTGTCCTGTTTATGAGCGGGTGTTCAGGTGTCCAGGTTGTTTATGCACATTTAAATATCACAACCTGTTCAAAGAAATGTGTACAAATCTATACACTGAGAGACCTGAACATATTACTTACAGTACTCTGATAGAAGTCAGCATTATATGTTTTGTATACACACACCACATCCAGGTTTCTGAAACCTTCTGATTGAGTACAGAACATCATGACTAAGAAGTTGAGAAGTCAACTCGTACCAATAGGTTTCTCATGCAGGGTTAGGTCAGGTTGTATCAAGAGTCAAATCTAATCCAGGTCAACGCTAAAAACTTGGCTCCTACAAGAATGTAAACAGAGTCTGAGTTTGAATAGGACTACTTGTACACAATGACTTTAAAAACACGCAGGGGCGTGGAGTGGCCTTCTACTGTAAGTCGTCTCTGGCAGCCGGATATTTCCTTCCTGGGCTTGCAAACAGCTAACCTCTGAAGTTTCCAATGAATTTATTCTTTAAGGTTGACTTAACATGTCAGTGTGGGATGCTTATATCATAATCCTTGTATCCTATTTCCTTGAATGCTTGTTGAAGTGAAGTTCTTAGACTCACCTATCAGTCATGGACATCTTATAGATCACGTCCGCCTGTGGGGTTGGGGACAGGACAAAGACAGAATGTTGGTGTAAAGACACATCCGCAAACAAAGAGAGCCAATGCCACTGGAGAGAGTCTGAACAAGAAATAATGATGACTATTGCAAATACTCCTATATTCTCTGTATCAAGAAGCTCTTTGAGTCAAGGCAAAGAGGAACCTTTCATTAAGACACAGGTAACAGTTCAGCCCTTCTCTGAACAGGCCCGTGCAATGCCAGAGTTGATGACAGATGTTACTACAGTACAATCCTCACCTGCCCAAGGAAATAGATCCCTCCTCCGACTATGAAGGCAGAGAAGACTGTGCCAATCACAGCAAAGAGAGTAATGGAGCCAATGTTCTGGAAGAAGTTTCCCTGAGCAGAGACGGACACAGTAGCATGACATGTAGAGTTACATAGTGATACACAACATGCAGTAAAGAGGGCAGAGGTACAGAGATATTAGTCAGCATCACTGTGAGTGATGGAGCAGAATGTACATGAACAAGATGTCAGAGAAAATAGAAGGCCATAATGTTAATTAAAAATAGAATAATGTGTTGTGAGCTACTGCTTTGTATTTGCCGCTCTAATTGAAACACTAGTTGAGTAAATATATAACAATAGTGTTTATAAATGATGCAGCTGGGAGAAAACATAACAATAAGGCAATAATAGAGCAAACAGAGTGTAGTGCCGCTGATAATATTTTGCTTTCATGTCATAGATTGCCCAAGGCATAAGCAAACACGGAGCCTGCTTCGGTGTCTGTTTGCATTTATATTAGCTTTAAGAGACTTGCATTGTGTTGCTCACAAAAAAAAAAAAAAACCACAACAGAAATGTTAATACTGTAATTGCTGCTTAGTTTAGAATATGTATATTATCATTCTTGAACAATCGCTTATTGCAACTTTGCACTGTTAATTTTTTGCTGTGTTCAGTCATTCAACTTGAGTGGTGGGAATGTAACCTAATGCACACATTTGTGTTGTACCTTATGTAAAGAGTATCCAGATTCAAAGATGATGGGCGGCAGCAGCAAAAGGAAGAACATGTTGGGTCGGAACATTTCCTCCTCCTTAAAGATAAAGACAGAGAAACAGTTACATTTCATCTGCAAAAAAATAAAAATAAAATATGCTGTGATCCGATTACAGAGACGGAATTTTAACCTTGGCTTTGAGTTGCCGCTGGCTAATTGTGTTACATTATAGCAGTGACGGAAAAGGCCAAGCCCAACTGGGAGCAGGGAGTTGTGTCAGCACACAAAAAACTTTAAGATTACAAGAATCCCAGAGTACACTGTAAACATTATTCACTGAACAGAGTACTTCTTTCCAAAGGGTTTTGTTATCGCAGTGTTGAAATATTCTTATGTTTCGTCAACTTTAATGACCCTGTAATGGTCTTAAATTTAACACACTACCCCAATTTGAGTCATTGCGGTTCTACATGGCTGTGTGATTAGATGTGTGTGTCACTGACTAATAAAACACGTGCTTCTGGTTATTACACAATCCTCAACAGATACTCTGCACAATTCATCTGACAGTCACTTCAGCCATAATCAGCTGACTTAATACTTAGTCATGGAGGAGGGAAAAAGGTGACAAGGGAGACCATGTCTGAGCTGTTCGCAACATCTGACTAAACAAGTGTGGACATTGACTCTTGGATGCCAAACTCACACAATATACACACGGACACACACACCCACGCATATCAGGTGCTCGTCAGGAGGAATGCCTGCCTGGAAGCCAATTCCTGTTCACCACTACTGACAAGCTCTTTCTTTCACACATTCTGGAAAAAGGACACGTGAATACCATTTATTTATTTTTTTTATTTTTTTTTATCTAACAGTCGCGCGCACACAGAAAGGCGCTCACATGCACGCACCACGCGCGCACACACACGATTGCAGTGACCTGAGCTCTCTGATTATTTCAGCGATATAATGAAATCATTGTTGCTTCTCGGCTAAATGGGCCAGCCTCCCAGATCAGGCGTAGGCATCATGTGCCCGTGCATTACGCTCTGGCTGCCAATGTGTCTGTGCATGATGCACCATGTGTTGTTGTATAAGCCAGCGTACACGAGAGTGTGTGTGTGTGTGTGTGTGTGTGTGTGTGTGTGTGTGTGTGTGTGTGTGTGTGTGTGTGTGTGGGGTATTCTGTACATAATCTATGTTGGCAATATAGAAGCCGATACACAGGATGCATTATCAAAAGGAAGACCTATTTCTCGGCTGTGGTCAACACTTTGGTTTAAAAGATGAAAAAGAGCAGCCCTATATTTAGTCCATCCAGCCAACAATATGTGTCATTGTCCTATGGAGACCACTTTTGACAGCTGGTACAGTCCAACTCTCAACCCCAACAACCCTACAAGCAGATGGACATCAAGTCAATTCCCTCTGTCTTTTGCTGGGCTTCCTTCAGATGCTCATTGTCATGAAAAATTACAGAAATAAAGGATACTATATTTAACATTTATAACTCCTGACAGAGGAGCAAGATACGATGAATGTTAATCAACCGTCAGCTCTTATTTGACTAACAGTGTGAACATTTGAATGCAGGGTATAACTGGTGAGAGTGACCAAAAGATTCATTACATTTCATTCTGTTTACTACAGTCGGTTTAATAGTTTCATCTGTTCTGTAATCTGTGTGTCATGATGGATGTCGATCTCGCTAACTGCAAACAAATCTACCTAGGGTACAAATAAAGTCACCTGAACCTGAAGGTACAAAAGAAAGACAGTGCTGTCAATGAATCACAAATGACTGAATGAAAATGTCAAGTTGGCACTCTGCGTCTGTGTCGATTGGTGCACAAAGTGTTTTTCTCATTTGGTTTTTTCCATTCAGTGTTTTATCAGAGATCACAGATCTTCTTATGAACATCACTGGCTCCACCGCAGAAGAACCGTTCATCACTTTAATATATTTCATTCTGTCTACTATAATGCAACAAAACACCATTGTATGTGTTAACCTGTTTGGCAATAAACCCAGGATATCATTCTAATCTTGATGACTGTACAAGACACAAAGTTCAGTTTTACTCAACTGTAATATCCTGGAATATAATCTCTTTCTCTCCATTTCACCGATCATGCAGGTCCAAGGCCAAAAGGAGCATGATAAATCTGTCCCTAACCGTACTTTATTCTAGATAGAAGCTATTAAAAGTAGGTCAGACATAAAGAGTAGCCCATGCAGGACATATGCAAGAATAAAAAGGCTTTGCTCATGCTCACTTTGTCTAATTATGCATACAAATATAAGGAAAAGTAGGCCAACAAGGAATGCATGAAGGTTTCCACTTCTTCCTTGACATTTATCTCCACACAGCTCTTCCCTTCCAGGTAGGGTGAAAGGTTAAATATTAACACCTGAGTCAGAGGAAGGTATGCAGTACATGCACTACAGTCTGACATCTACAGCTGTACTTCTGCATGCATTCATGTATGCACATGTTTAACTGCCACATGAGAACGTCTTGGAGACTGAACGCGTACTCACCAACTTTACACGCAAATATCCACCCAGATTTAAATGACACATCAGCAAGCTAGTCCTCTGCATGATTTGTTGAAAAGAGATTTAATGTGAGGGTGAATGTAGATGTACATGGAATGTCTGATTCTAAATATAACTGCAGAATGTGCAGATGTATATGTTTTTGTGCATTATGCATGTTGTCTTAACCTCCATATTCATGCATGGAACACTGACTGTGACAAGTGTACAAGGTATGAATGAGTTTCAAATGCACATTTCTATTAAACATTTATAATTTAAATATTTTTTTAAAAACTAGTAGAACCGCAGTAACGGATTTCACTAGTTCATTTTTAATTATATATTTCACTTCTTTGAATAACTGATTAAACATTTAGTTACTAAAATACAAGAAAAGTTAAATAAATTTGTCTGACTGTGGAAACAGTCCTTATCAAAAAGTGATTTTAATTACGATTATTCAAAAGGCGTCGTTTCTCACATCTGAGATCATGAAACCAGTACATTTGTGGCATTCTTTGCACGATAAATGACACAAATGATTCATCAACTAACCAAATTGTTGGTAATTTAATAACTGTAGTTGATTAATTGACTTTAGGTCGGAACGCCGTAGGTGCCCTGAAAACACGAGACAAGAGGTGTCCTGGGAAAGGTTAATGAGACTTCAGAAACACTAATATTGATAGACACCAGAGAAAACATGTTGTAAGGGACTGAATGATGAGATGGATTCAACCAGAGACCAAAGGATGGGCACACTCTGGTGCCAGTGTCGAGACAGAGCTTGTACTAAATGAGAAAAGACGAATGCCATAGATGAAGGGAGCACAGTTACCCTGGTTGAGAGTACAGGCTCCCCTAGAGGCTGAGGTTTGACACATGGTGACATCACCACGTGGGAAAAAGGCCCCTTAAACCACAATTAAAACGACTCTCCCTGTGTCGCTCTCTCTCTCTCTCTCTCTCTCTCTCAACGGCATGAGAGAGATCTAATAAAACTATTTTTGCTGCCCTTTGGAGCTTAAAACACACAACTGCGGCCAATGAGTAGAAAGCACGAGGACCAGTTGTAAGCTTGAATACTAAATCAGAGAGAAAACTAAGTTCCTGTAGTGGACGGGAGCAGCTAATATATTCACCTATGTATGTGCCTTTGTGCTTCGCCTGCGAGACAAATCGCTGCTAGTGTGGCTCTTTTTACCAGCATACTATTTCTTTTTCAATCTGTGTCAGAGCACGGGGGAGAGATGGGCAGATGAGAGAATCTGAACAGTACCAAGAAAGCGCACTAAGGAAAAGCTTCCCTTCATAGGCTTGATTCCAGGAAGCTGACTAGAGATAGAGAGGTTGCTAGTGTAAGGCAAAGACAGTAGAAGGCTGATTAAAGGTGAAGGTAAAGCCAGTGATGACAGGGTGCTGCTGCCTGAGGGTATTTTTTTTTTTTGCACCCTCTCTGAGGATTGTGGGGTTTTATCTGGAGGCTGACTAAATCAGCAAAGAGGCCCAGCTTTAGAAATATGCTTGTTTGAGGTTGAGGTTACGAGCATGAAGGTGCAGCCAGTTTAAACCCGCAACACTGAGCAACAGATAGAAATAAAAAAGGGGAGGCACCTTGACTGGAAACTATTACTCAGTCATATAAATTGCTGTTGAAAAGGTTACACTGATAGAAGCACATTTTTGCTAACGGCCGGGTTACTCACTGAACAGGTTACATGCCTGTTTATAGGGGCCTGCTCAAAAACAAATAGGTCAAAGACAAAGGATTTCCATTCCGGCCTGGATCTTTAGAAGTCTTCAATGGCCTATTAACATTGTGGCTTTTCCACGCTTGCATTGAGTTTCTTGCGAAAAAAGCTGTGATAGTGTAACTACATAGACTCTAGTAATGCTGTTTAGTGATCATAGGCCACAAAGCCACTGCCTACTATATACGGCCAGCGGAGCAGGTTTGCATGCTAGGAACAAAATACAAAAACAAAGATAGCGGTCCAGAGATTCACAGGATGGGAGTTAAGCGGGGAATGGGGCTCCAAGGGCTCTGGTTACGAGTGCTGATGATTCAGCAACACCCTGGGGGCCCCGGGCCAAAAAACAAAGGGCCCCAGTGTGCAGGAAACATTGATACAACCTGTCCTCTTTTTCCTCCCTGCCCCCCTCACTCTGCATCTCTCTCCGTCTCCTGCTCTTGTTCACTGGTTCTCTTGCGCACTGGCAGAGAACAAGGAATGTTAATGAAAGGCTGTGAGAACCAGGAGAAAGAAGGAGGGCTCGAGGACAGAGAGGGAACAGATAACAGGCAAATAATGGTTTGTGTCACCAAAGATAGGTAACAGAGTAGAGATAAAAAAAAAAGATTAGATTTGAAACAAAAACGGTCACCAGGGAATGAATGACTGAGCAAAAAGACGGGCATAGAGATATGAAAAACTAAAGCACAGGGGGGAGGATCTTTAGTGGGTTTGGTGGGTGGGAATGTGTTTCTGGAGCATTATACAAGAACAAGGAAAAGTGGTTTTAAACCCTTTAGTTGGATTAAGAATGCTTTAAATAAACCAAAATGTAAATAATCACGCTCTCTAAATCGATGTCAAGAATGTAATGTGTGTAGCTCTTTTGTGTACAGATTGAAGCAACCCTGTCTTTTAACTTAAGGCGTTACTGTTAATTAAAGAAAATGAATATCTTACACAAAAAAAGGCTGTGTAAAAATGGTCAGAAAATCAATGTTTCTGGTGTGTTTTTACTGGCCAGTGTAGTGAGCACACAAGTATCTGAGAAGCAGAATGTGGACAAGACCTAAAACTTTACATACCTTCCAGTTGGCAAGTTCCTGGAACTCAATGAGCTTAATGAAGCCTCCCATTAGAATCCCTGGAAAGAGCAAGGAGACACGACAAACAACAGTTTTAATGTTTTACTACTTCATATGAAAACTGTAAAGCCACCACAGTACAGATGAGGAGTGCAAACCTGAGGCAAAGAGCTATTTTAGTGGTTCAAACAAACAGAAGCCTAGCTAATGTCCACCACGGATAAATTAGACATGAAGAGTGCACACGGGCTCTTGTTTTGTTTTATTCTTTGAGAAAGTCCCCTTAAGGCCTGCAGCTCTCTTGTTACACAGCCCCGCAGAACATTAATTAAAAGGGCGAGGGCAACACAAAGACGTGCAAAGGGCAGAGAAAGAGAGAGATTAAATGTGAAAATAAATTAAGTGTGAGCATCAAAGCATTGTGTCAGACCCAGATACGTGGGCTGATGGAAAGGGATAGTGCGTGGCGAGACACAAAAAGAGTAGTAGGGAGTTAGAGGAAGTGATGAGGAAGGAAAAGCCATCTTTCCTGATTTGTAAGCATTGTGTTATCTCTCTTCAGCAGAGTCCCCGGCTTCCCGACAACTCTAAGATGAGCTCCATCTCACTTGAAACATGCGAGGCATGCGAGAGGACAAAGATTTTCTGGGTCAAGAACGGGTGTGTGTCCCTGAGTTTAAACTCAGGGACACTGCACAAACATGTAAAGATGGTAACTGAGAGTCTTTAAAGGCACTAAACTAGAAGTAATCTTATGAAGAGGCAGAAGAACTCTCAAGAGAAAAACAAGAAATATTTTAAAAACAAAACCTCTTCCTTTATTAACTGCTATAGGGCGGTCGCGGTGAAGGAATTCCCACAGCGGTGATCAACGGTGGCTCAGTTGCGCGGAATGAGGTATTAAGGCACCATCAATTTTTTTTTTTATTTCGCAAATTTATTTGTGATTCTGGGGTCAGCAACTGGCCCACCAGCAATAATATCTCGACGGCCTAGATTATTTAGGTTGGGATTTTATTATTTTCTCAACAACAACGCCATGATAATCAGTGACAGACACAAACATTCCCGCAACGGAACAGTGTGCGAGCAGCCCTGCAGACAGTAGACAACTCCTAATGCAAAGAACCATCCGCAACAGTTATCAGCAGAATCACCTCATCGTTAGCCTTTTTACCTTCAAAAATAAAGTGCAAAGAGAGAGAGACAGAGAGAGAAATAAAGAGAGCTGATACACTGCACAGACATCGACATTGTCCATACTTCACTGAGCGCTCAGATTTGTAAAGTGAGTGCAAGTAACAACAATGCAAAGCCCTGGGTACGGATTTGGAAAACGGCTTTTTATTGTTTTCTTCGCTGCAACACAACAAATCTCTTGCTTTAAAGTTTCCTTTGTGACTCTGTTATCACACCTGGTAAGCCTTGTGGGGAGGCTTGTTATCAGGACGCAGCAACACCAAGAGATGAAATCAGAGAGAGAGAGAGAGAGAGAGAGAAAGAGAGAGGGATATTCCAGTTTTCACATTAAGTTAGTACTTAGCTTGCGTATTCTATAGTCAAATCCTACTGTACATGCTTTTCAAAACCACACTGTCGTGGTGATAACTGTTGCTGTTCAGCACCAGGCCCTCCCTGTCAACAGTCTGCAGCAATGCTCACTGTTCTGTGGCGAGAATGTTTGTGTATGTCACCGATTGTTATGCTGTTGCCAAGCCAAAATAATCTTGCGTGCCAGATACTATTTGCTAGGTGAGAGTGAGACCTCAAGAGTGAGACCTCAAAGTGGATATCCTCAAAGAGTGAGACCTCAAAGTGGATACACGAACTGCATCAAGCTGTATCTACCTTTTCCATCGGCTGAAAGCCGAAAAGATCACAAAGGGGCAGAGTTACATTTGGATTAAGTGCAAGTGCAGTAGCCTTAGTTTGCATCTGAACATGAGGTGACTTGACAAGCGGTTTCTGACGGTTTCCCCAATGCTCCACGGTTGGCTTTTTAATGTTGTGGTATTTCATTTTTGTGACAGCCCTAGCTGTACACAGAATCACAGGCTATAATGTAAGGAATATACAATCACAGAGAAAGTACAAGAAAGCCAGGTCAGACTAAAAGATGTAAGTTCTAAAAAATAATAAAAATAAAAAAGGCATCAAATCCATTATTTATACATGCTCTAAAAAACAGAGAAAAAAGTCTTCCTAGACAGATTTAAAATTGGAAACATTGTACAGGTATTTTAAGTTGACCCAGCCAGTGCAGAGCTACGAGTTACATAAGAAGTACTCACCGAGGGACACGACAGCCACACTCTCTGGAAGAAAATGTAGCTTGAACTTGATAAGCAGGTGCACCAATATGATGCAGATACCTGGGGTTGAGAGAGCAAAGGCTAGTGAATGAATATTCAGGACAAATCCATCCATGTCCCAACCATCATGTCACGCCAACTCAGATAGGCCCAAAAATAACCCCCCACCATCATATAGTGTTAACATCTTTTCTTTGGCTGCTTTCCTCCACAAAACCTACGCGTGGACCTGCCAGAGAGGTCTATAAAAAGTGTATACTCTAGCTATAATTTGATTTCTTTTGACACTCTAAATAGACATCTACATTCACATCGTTTTAGTCTTCATAAGTAATACAATATTTTATGCAAATGACTTCAATCTCACTGTTTTGACATAAAGATGACTGCACGGCAGTTCCTTGACATTTAAAATAAGAGTACTTGAGACGGTAAAATAAAAGATAATTGCCCCCAACTAAAACATGAAATGAGCTTGTTACAGTACCATAACACATTCACTATGTCATTGTGTTAATTCAGTGCATATGCACATTAGCTAATTACGACGAGGAACCCCAAGGCCTCAATGCAGTCAAGTAAACAGCAGTTTACACAAACAGTAGAATTACAGTGCAGAAAACGAGATAATCATAACACACAGCGTATGCCAGCAGAGGTCTGTTTGTTCAAGTTGGACTGTTTCTTAATTGGACTGGTTTAATTAAAGCTTTAGGGAAATGGGCCATAATGTTCATATGGTTTCCAGGAAGTGCTATGTAGGACAAATGGTCACTTTCTAGTACAACTTAGAGGTTTTCTCTCATTTAATGACTGATCAAATCTAAGTCAAATTACTAATATGATGTTTACTTTGACCTCACATGTTATGCTTTGTTCTTTCAACAATTGCCTTTATTATTTGGCTGATGTGTTTTTTTTTTTCTGTGTCTACTTAGTGAACAAGTCTAATTGTCAGCCGTATGCACGCTTTATGCAATTCCATTAGTCATAACCACTTAAAGTGGTAAGCTTCTGACTAAACCTTAAGTGACCAAAAGTGCATTATGGGCATTTTGTGTCTAAAGACCTTACACCATATTCCTTCACCACTTCCTACACAGCAGTTCATCATTTCGCTTTTTATCTCGTAAGCTCAGAGGAACTATAGACTACATTTATCTAGGAAAACAACGTGCAAGTATAGTTAATGGTGGCAGCAAGAGAGCGCACAAAGAAAATCAGACTGACTGAGTCTGATAAAGTTTCTGCAATACCGCAACAATGAGAGACTACTCACCGATAACCAGCAGGCTAAAGAATATGGTCAACCCACTGGACTGCTCCTCTTCTTGGGCCTTAACGCCTGTCTGAACAGGCAGAATAGGCTTGGGAGTAGGGGGTACTGGAGTAGTCGGCTTGGTGGCAGGTGTTGTAGACCGGAGGGTCTCATTGCTGTTGTTATCCGTGTCATTGGACTTGCTGCAGGAAGACAGTTAGGAGAAAACACATGTTAGCGTGAAAAATAAAATTGTCTTACAAATAAGAAAAGAAGATGGATAAAGAGCTAGAGGTTAAATCTATATTACAGGGGAGAACAGATACCTCAATCCCTTAATTTACACTCTGCCTTATAAATATTAGAGGAAAATTGGTTTTCCTCTACTTGTAAGTGAATAATTGTTGAATAATATTGTTTGTGTTTACAGGAAATAAGGGGCCTGAGAATACTTTATTTTCAAAGTAGGCTACATTAGGCCTACTTCTGATTTATAGAGCTTATACTTATAAAATAATGTTCAAAATGACATGAAAATCCTTGCAAAAAAAGGCTTTTCTGCTGATTTCACCTCCTAATTTTACCCTTTAAAAAAAATTCATGACTACAGTTATTGTCAGGTGTTGGTAATGGGGAACTTCAACAACAAGCTAGCCAGAAGTCGGCGTTACACTGAAAACCTCAATAACGAGGCTACTGATAGCTGGCTAGCAACACTGGGCTCAGTTACTACGAGAGACTGAAACTAAGAACTTAAAGGCAAGAACCTGACAGACGGTCCATCCTGTCGGGGGTCCTGTGACTCGAGTCCATCCTTATTATCATGTTTTATCGATGCTTGCTGGTGTTTAACTAAAGGATTGTCGTTTTGGTTTACATCCTGTCCGTCGTCGTCATCTCTCCCACGTCGCTCCAACGAGTCGTCCCTCTTACCTCGCTGAGGCACGCACGGATTAACGAATAACAGCAAAAGGGATAGCAACAAAATGTTGTGACAAACGCCTCTCATTCTCAAACTGGTGAATTTAACGCCGAAAACAGCATTTAATGACAAAAATGTGTGGAAGTTCCATGTCGACAGCACCGTGCATCTGTTGACATCACGACTCCACTTCCTGGAACATGCATCGACGGGAATTGTAGTCTTTACGTATGACAAGCCAGGTAGCACAGAAGATACGGACACAGTTCCATGCAACTATTGACAGATTAAAAAAAAAAAAAAACACAGACTATATAAGGTATTTCACGGATAACTTTATATTTAAACGAATAGGCTATATATAGAGCGTCGCAGGAGTCCAGTAAATATTTAGTACTCAATTTCCAATGAGCCATTGTAGTGTAGTGTCCGCCTGATGTTTTGTGGATATTGTAGTTTTGCACCCACTGCCAAGATGTAAGGAAACGAAAAATACACCTGTCACCGAAAAATCAATCATAATGGATGGATGGAAATTGAGATAGGCCTACATATATAGCCTACATCGACTACATGAAATAGCCTATAATGTTTATAATTAAATGAATGGGGAAAAAAAGTAAGGCTTTTACATTAGGTTACATATTTTAAAAACATGTAGGGCCTACCTGGACTATTAGCCTATCAGTAGGCTATAAGTAGTTTTTTTTTTTTTGTTTTTTTAATTAAAATAAAAAGTCCGTGACACAGCCTTGTCGTCATTTTTTAGGCATGTGGTCGAACTCTTTCAGTCTATTCTTATGTTAATTGGATGAGCAAAATGTTGGGAAAACCCAGCCTACACAACCGAGGATCCAAGAACCACCCATGAATGCACTCAACATGGCTTACTGCAGCCTTCAGACTCCTATTAGGCTTTAGATTTTAGACCAAATACGTCCATTGACTTATTTTAGAGTGAAAATGAATTATTACTTGGCAATAATTACATTGACGCTTTTGAACCCATCCATAAATAGTCTACCTTAAGTGAATAGTTAATCTAAGCCTGTTTTAATAATTTCACAAGTCATTATGCTGCTCGACATATCGACGCTTGTCAAAGTGGTAATGCATTTCTTAGTCGCCTGGTTACGTCGCTGAACGTTGTGTTAGCGTGTACTTTGCTGGATAGCCTTGCTGTTAACGCCCACTCTAGGTAGCCTTTTGCTCATTTTGCGGAGGGCCTGCCCCATTCATAGGGCTTGTAGGCAGGCAGGCGGGCGGGCAGGCGAGGCAAGGCAAGGCAAGGCAAGGCTCAGGAGCGGCCGAACACCGTCAGCGACGTGTAGTGTGTTTGTGTGTGTGTGTGTTTGTGTGTGTGTGTTTGTGTGTGTGTGAGCCAAATGATGGTCTCTCACTCAAAATAACAGGCCAGGGGGGAAAAACTGCGCTATCATTGTCAGCCGTTTCGACAGCGGACTCACCCTCTTCAGAGACCGACACCGTCCTCTTCGGAATGGGATTTGAATGTCTTTGATTGAGTACTGGAGGTCCTCTCCCGCGCTAGACTTGTCGTGGAAATTGACTTCTTAGTCGCCTCCCGGTCCCCTACACCGTTGCCGCAGACCGGCCACCCTACTCGGCTCATTTATCCCAGTCCCGGTCCGTAGACCATTGGCTCCTGGCATCTGGAAACATTGGAACTGGTCGATCCATTCGTAAATACACTGAACGTGCCTGTGTGTGCTTTTTGCTGCCTGTATAATGCCGACACATTTGCGGTTCCGGAGAAGGTCATTCCTTGGGCTTTTATTCCTTTTTTCATTGTCCACCTCCGCATTGTACTTCATCTACTCCGCCCCTGGGATCGGTAAGTAAATTTAACGGATTTTTTTTTTAATTTTTTAATTTTTTTAATTTAAACTACCCAGACGTTAGGATGGAGTGAGGTTGTTTGTATCATGTAGCTGTTAGGTCATGTGTGACAGCTCGGCTTGCCATGGGGAGTGTAAGCAGAGGGGGCCATGCGCCGAACCGTGAGCCTTGATCTCTCCCAATCGATGATGAGACACGGCTGGATTCTGGAGCTAAATCTTTTAATATCCATGTACCTGGGCCTGATAATAACAGTGCTGCTGATGAGCATTATGGACACTGTAATCATACTGATGTAAGTAGGCCTAACAGCTATGATTACTAGTAACAACTGGTTTCATATTCAAAATATGGCCTTTATTTAAGGATCATTTTGGCATCTGTAAAAGTCAAAGTTGGCCTATTTACCAATGATCACTCTTTTTTTTATTTAATTATGGAGGGACTAAATGTCATGCTTAGCTCCATGAAATCATATAGCCTTATTTATAGGCTATTTGTGAAGTCAACCTGGACATATTACGATAACTGCCATACAAGCTGTCCCTAACATCATTAGCTGCCTTTAGGTTACATGCAGTTATTCAATCTCCCATGAATCCTTATTTTCATTAATTAATTAATTAATATTTCAGATCATCCCCTCCCTTTTTCTTTTTCTGCTACTCTTTGTCTCTCTCATGGAAAATGTGAGTGGACTCGCGTGTCATTTTCAGTGTTCTTGGGTGTCTTTGGTCTCACCCATCCTGTCTTGGAGGGCCTCTAGCTTAAGCCATGATCCACTTGTCCTATCAGCCCAGATAGGTAGGGCCAATCACGGTTGCTATTTCAGTCATTATCACCCATGTGATGTCCAAACATCATTCACTTTACTGTAAGTAATTGGACAGAGCTGATCTGGAATCATTTTACTTCTTGTGAAATTGTGACTTTCACCTGACTCTGTTCTTGACTCTGTGCCAAGCATGTGTGTTATATAGTTTAAGATTTTGATGAATGTGCCAATGGGCTGCATTTGAATTTTCAAACTCTATTACTGGCAATGGGAGGAGGAAGTTCAAAAGAAAATAGTTAAGACAACCCTAGGTGCATTTGGCTTGGACTTTTTTTTCCTAGTTAAAGCTTAAGCCACTGTTGATTGGATATCCTGTTGTGCTGACTGAACAGCCATCCTTGGTAATGTTTGGCTTCCTTGATCTGGCTCAAATTAAAAAGGTGTACACCAAGACATGGGAATCGACTATCACAGCCGAAACACAAAGATAGTGTAATGTTGTAGTTTGCAGAAAATCAAATTGAATTTGATTTCCATTATTTTTTACAACCAATTGATACATTTTCTTTTTCTCTGTGAACTTCAGAGCTACCCATGTTGTAGCTGTAAAGCAGTGTTTATGTCATACTTGTGTAGGCCTTCTTAAACATCAAAGACCTAGCTGGTCCTTCCCGAAGTCATCAAAATGGGTATTGATCCTTTCACGCTTTTTACCTGGAGTGGACAAGTTAATCAATAATGGAATCAATTCTCATATGGAGGACACATTACTGACAGAAATAGCCTGTGTAAGCTGCAATAACGGAGAGCAATAATTCCTCTAAATGGGAAACAAATAAACGTATAAATCGTTGCTCAAGAAGGATAAAAATAATCCGTCTTTCACTTTTTTCCCCACTTGGTATTGATGGCATCTGCCTGGTTTCTGACTGAGAGCAGCACTCGGCAATATACATCCTCCTGGGTGTTGACTCTTGTAGGTCTGTAATGGCCATGTAGTTTTACAGAGAGTTAGTTCAGCAACAGAAAGAGGACCAGCAGGACCAGTCCATTAATTATAGAACTGACCAGAAGCCAGGCTGCTTCTGCTGCTGTTACTAAAAGCTACAGTTTAGTCCTTGACATTGGGGGTGCCTGATGGTGAAAAGAAAATCAGGTGGGGATGTAAGAATTTTGCTTAAAGGAATAAGTGCACATTTTTTAATAAGGTTGTATGATTTAATTACAGGGACACTGATGCATGGATAAAGCCAAGTTTTTTTGATTCCTGTGGTCAGATATGCATCAGTGCGCAGCAGTTTACAGACCTCATGAGAGAAAAATGTCAGCAAATGCAGCCAGTTAACAAAATCAAACCACAACACAGCATTAGCATGTGAATTAACCATCCCTGCAAAGCAGAACTTCCTCTCAGAACTTCCTCTCAGACCTCATACCAGACGTATTCATCAAATAAAGTCAGTTACTGTTGTTCACATTTACTTTGATTTTTGCAGGCAAATTAAGCATCAGACATACAATGCTCATGGATGTTTTAATGTGTTATTTAAAACTGTGTCTGTCAGCAACTGTTCCGTTTCATCTGACAAACTGCAGCATTGCTTAAAAATACATCACTACTTCTACTGTTAGGGATTCTTATACCCTATCCCTTTAGAAGCAGATGAAAGCAGAAGAAATGTCAGAGCGAGCTTCAGATATGTCAGTGAAGCCTTTACATCAATTTCTATACTCTACAAGTCTACATTGTTCTAAAATTATTCCAGCATTTGTGTGCATTAATGATCAAATCTAGTTTTCCCTATTGCAATTCTTATCTTTCAGCCAAGAATGTGAGTTTTTCAAGTTCAGGACCAAATCTAACCATTTCCATGGCATTGGACTCTACGACACACCGCATCAGATGGCGAGCTCTGACCTGTATATGTTAAATGTATATCATTGCATGATGGCAGTGACATTTTGAAAGTGAACAGATGTGCTGAGAGGGCTCATACATGAGCGGACACTGAAGAGTAAGCAGAATAATGTAGTGTAAAAAGAACTATCAGGAAAGATAGAGAAGGATAGGAGGGGGAGGAGCAGGTGGGAATGGAGGGGAAAGGATGAAAGAGATGAGCTGAGCTCCTTTCCTTCTGCTGGTTTGCACATTGGGGAACCCATCCAGAACACCTGAGCAGGGCTTCCATTGATACCCAGGTGGCCTTTGTGCAGAATGGCCCAATTTCACAGCTTAGTCCATTTCTCTGTCTTTCTCTTCGTGTCTGCTTCTGTTTCTCCCTCTCCTTCTCGGTCTCCATGCATGTACTCGTATGCCCTGACACCCATGCCTCTTTGTTGCCCCCAAGCATTATCGTTGACTGATGCAGGCTGGGAATGCAGGGCACAGCTGGGCCTGATTGCAGCAGTTTATTTAATTAAAACATGAGAAGATCCTACTGGAGCAAGTACTAAGGAAGACACAGGCTCTATTTATAGGTTTAAACGCAGATGCACACACACACACCTCCACATCCGGGGAGAGCAAAGAAAACAGGTGCTTCCCTTTGCCTTTGGAGGCCAGGCTCAACCTCCCATCTGAGTGGCTAAGTGTGCATGTGTGGGTTTGTGTTAGGCTTGAGTTTATTTATCTGTGTAATGTAGTTATGTATTTGATGTACCAGATTAACATCTAGGTGTAGGCCACACCAGACAGACAGTCATGACAGAGTCTCTCAGGTTGCTTCACCGTGTGAAGCAAAGCAGGGATGTAGTTAGCCAAGGAGTAGAAATCCTTTGGTGTGTCTCACATGTTATTGAACAAAAACAAATGTGAGCTTAGGAAAAGCTAAGAAAGAGGTGTAACCTTGACTTGACACAACCAAGCATTTCTAACCAGTGATTATGTTGTTGTGTGCTTAAAGATTAGATATTTTGAATTGAAGTGATTACCTGCATAGCTCCTCCTCATGATATCTTTACAAGCCGTCCATTGGCTCCTTAAAACAAAGGTCAGGGTGCAGACTGCCAGTAAGTATATCTCTGAGAAGCAAATGATAGTCAATGCCTTAAGTTGAAAACACACCTAGTGCTAGGATATAATTGCAGGTGTTATGTGTGCAAGTTAGTCTGCTTCATCAGTTAGTCTGCTTCAAGTATGTCGTGAATAACTATTCATAAACACATCATTGCTGCACAGTGCACTTTTGTTGTTACAGTGTTACAATTCACTTAGCAGACAAAGCGACGTACATCACCATTCATACACCGTCACAGTAGCAGCGGGATGCAATGCAGGGTTAAGTGTCTTGCCCAAGGACACATCGGACATGTTGCTCAGCTGGGGATCGAACGACTCTACCAACTGAGCCACAGCTGCCCTTAAGGTCCCTTAAGTTCAGTCTACTACTTAAAATCTACTAACAAATGAAATGTTTACCTCAATTTTGAATAATAGAACTTACCTAAGCAGGCTAATTTGCAACCTGCCCGAGACACACCTAACCTCAGCTTTTGACATTTAAACTCCCTGCAGTGTCCCTTATCTGTTTTTATAAATGACTTTCATTTCCCAATAACAACTACAAAATATGCTTAAAAAGGAAACACTATAATCAAGTGTACTTAATCGGTGGTTGTAAACATGCTAAATATCACAGTGAGTGTATCTTGATAATGAAGTCCATGTTTATCCTTCACTTGCAAACAAGATCTAAACTTGGAACCAGTTTGCTGACATTTAAATGTCTTGTTCATGGTGTTGTGTGCTGTTGTATATTCTGGTACACTCCTTTATTGCAACCCTCTTTATCGTCATCAGGCATTTTGACATCAGAGGGTTCGTTTTTTTTGGTTTTTCTGGGGCGCTTGAATGTTGCAGTGTATTGCAGTTAACTTTCCGGAAATACCACAAAATTGTACAATCTGCACAAGGCTGTGTTTGCTCTGATGTTGTCAATATTTAATTTGAACTCAAATCATGATAACTCACCCACTGGATAATGCTTAAAAAGCTCCTTTAGTAAGAACAAGTGTGTGCATGCATATACTGTTGGGATTTTATTAATGAAAACAATAAAAATGTATTTTCATTTTTGACAATAATCTATCACTTTTTATTAAGTGGGTCCTGGCAGGACTCAGCTTTTCTTACAGGCAGGGGGGACTCCATAGATAAAAGGCTGGGAACAACTGTTATAGACCACCACTGTCTGTTCTAATGGCACTGCTCTTTTTCCTCT